AACACTCCTTACAACCTCAACATGAATAAGTGGGGCTAAACTACTGGACCCTGAAAAGGTAAATTTATTTAATATGCATTGGTTTTTATGACATTTCAAAAACACATCCACACTCCTTTATTCAAAAAAGGTGAGAAGAATTAAGTTTTCCATGACCCTATTAAGTTAGCTTGTTCAGTTTGGGTGCTACATATGGAAAATAAATTATGAATTAGAGACTTCTGTTGATTGAGATAGACAGCTACAAACAAAGCAGAGATTAAGATCGAGAAAGGAAAGAAACATTATCATAGGTCAGTTTTATTTAGGGGAGTAAACAAAAACAAAAATTAGAAGTAGTCATATAATGAAATGGACAAAAAGGTTCAGAAAATGCTGAAGTATTGTAATTTACTTATATATACATTTTAACACATTTTGAAGATTCTAAATTATGAGTCAACTCTGCTAATGTGTCATACAAATTTGCCTCACTAGATGGCGTCATACACACAGTCCAGTTCCAACATCTAGTCTGAACTTTGCCCTGAATGCTGCAAAACATTTTAATGTTATGTGAAACCCCAGCAATAAACACAGAGTATTCCTTTGTTTACTGTAGTAATCTACAGTCTCAGCCTACTCAAGCTTTAACTCTGAAACATGCAATCAAATTACAGGTCTGCTTCAGGAGGCCTCATTTTCTCTGCGCGCCAAGTAGGTTACTGGTTACACTCATGTGAGATGGATTCTGAAAAGGGATTGTTACTTCTTATTGATCCAGTACACAAATGACTTTAACGAAAGGCTTAGACTGGATTAAGAACCAAATCCACAGAACGTGGCGAATCTCATCAGTTCATTGTAAATTCTTGACAAGAAAACCTCCCTGAAAGTTTCTATTTCAACTGTCGACAGGGGCCAACAGGCAAAGCCCAGAGGGGTCTGAGTCTTCTCACCATACTTAATAACCTTAAAGGGTCCATATCCTAAAAATCCTAGAGGTTAAATGATATGGTACACACCTAAAAAAGATGGTTCTTTAAGGGTTCTATGGTAAAGAAAACAGTTTTACATAGAACCATTAACACTCAAAGAACACTTTGCATGATTAAAGAGTTCTTTGCATCATGAAATGGTTCTACAAATTGATAGAGAATGTGCTGTAGATGGTTCTATATAAAACCTTTTTGAAAAGGGTTTTATATAGCACCAAAATGGGCTCTTCTATTGAATAAGAATCTTTTTAAAAACTGTTTAATGAATCGTGCTTAATGTGACCAGGAAAATGAATTAACAAGGCAAAATAAGTCAATTTTGATTTCAGGTTGACTTTAAATGGGTTCTTCTATGCTTACAAGCCTGATATAAAAACAGAATCACATTTTTTGGTGCTATATAGAACCCTTTTCAAAAAGTTTCTATGTGGAACTATATAGCACACATTCTCCATCAAGCGGAAGAACAATTTCACAATGCAAAAAATTTAATCATGCAAATGGTTCTTTGAGTACTCATGGTTCTATATAGAACCATTTTCTTTACCAAAAACCCTTGAAAAAACATCTATTTTACTACTGTTTCATGAATCGTGCTTAATGTGACCAGGAAAATGAATTAACAAGGCAAAATAAGTCCATTTTTATTTCAGGTTGACTTTAAATGGGTTCTTCTATGCTTACAAGCTTGATGTCATAATAGGAGAACGCTTTTTGGTGCTATATGAACTCTTTTCAAATAATCTCTATGTGGAACCATATACAGCACATTCTGCATCAATCTGAAGAACCATTTCATGATGCAAAGAACCCTTTAAACATGCAAAAGGTTCTACAGTGCTCATGGTTCTATATAGAACCATTTTCTTTACTTAAGAACCCTTGAAGAACCATGTTTTTTAAGAGTGTATAATGAATCGTGCTTAATATAACCAAAAAAATGAGCTAACATTGCAAAAAAGGTTCATTTTGATTTCAGGTTGACTTTAAATGCTTTCAGATACTCTGATTGTTGTCATAGGGTGAGGCAATCAAAACCATCTAGTGTACAAACATTGAATGCCAAGTAACTCTCTTTGTTGCTCAAATAGAGCTGCTGACCTCATGCAGCGGTATGTGAAAAAAACACCATTGTTACCCTGGTAGCAAAAACCACTTTGCTGGCCACAGCTAAAATTTGCAAATGAATTAAAAGAGTTAAAATTAAAAACATCCAGCAGGACACATTAGGTTGCTATGAAGAAAATGTAGTTATGACCTTTATTGTGTGCTACTGTATACATGTAACACAAACAAGAATCCAAGGGCACACACATCAGAGTTACAAACGTATTAAATAAAAAGACAGTTTTCATTTAAGCGATTTTAGAAGGCTTAATAGTGTCTAAATATAGTCTGTTTTCATTTTCAAATACAGGGAAGAGTATTGCTTTTCTAAACTTATGTAGAACAATATAACTAAACTTATGCTGCCTACAAGTCCTGTCTGAAATATCGGATTTATGAGATGAAAACACATGAATGCCACCACAGTGTTGTATGTACTAGTTGGAAGCCTGGATTTGAATGAGCCCCGAGTTTCCGAATTGGAGGTATGTCAACAGAAAAATGATGATAGCCACTGATAAGCTGGCTGTATTTCAGTTATTCATCAGCCATACCCTTACCACTTCAGGCTAAAACCATCCACACATGGAAATGTAGATATAAGCACGTTATGTAATACATAGCCGCATAAAAACATTACTCTGCATCCTCTGCTCTTCACTTTTTTGCAGTAACGCAAAATACACAGACTATTTTATTTCCAACCAAAACCACTTGAACACAAATCAGGACATACTTATGACCTTCTAAGTCATAAGTAGGAACATCCAAGGAGGACTTGAAGGCAGCATTACATAGAACCTCCAAGACACGCCCACTGCTCCAAATTTTGGTTCTTTAATTTAAGGCAGAAGCTATGAGGCTTAACATTAGAAGTCAATAGTCACCCAAATCTTTTCCATAAATGCATGCTCAAAACTTCTCACAGCCAGCTCAAACTGCACCCACGTCTTCATTAAGGTAGCACAGACTTGTCGATTAGGGCACAGCATGACTTATGAAATGAACAATGAACAAATCGTCACTGTATAGCTGAGGAGTGGCTATTTTAGACAACAGGGGAAGTGTTACAGAAACTTCCTGTCTTTTTGGCTTAACTTAAGATCTGCCAGGCCAAGATAAGATTTTTCACAAATTCATATTACAGAAACAAATCTTATCTTAATTTAGAAATCTTATCTTACAGCATTTTATCTCAAGGCAGGAAATCTTAAACTACTTGATCGAAGTCAACAATCAACTTTCATGTCTGTTACCTAGCAACCGACCATACGTGCACAGCCGAAATGTAAACACATAATCGAAATAATCATTAATTACCCAGACAGCTAACGTTAGCTACTGTTACTGAGGTAAACAGGTCAAACAAAAGTACAGCATGAAAAACTCGAGGTTAAGAATATTGTGACAGTGTTGCTGCTCAACAGTTTCAGTTTCCCAAACGCTTTAGCAGAATGCGCTAATGTCATTCCTCCTAATAAACAGACACACGTTCAGCTTTGTCTCCTCGTTATTCACCACCATCACTGTAATATTTTATGTGAGTTTTTTTATCAATATTAACACACGAAGGTATAAGAGTAGACGGTGGAGATGGTGTCCGCAGTGTCTGGGGCTTTTAAAACGCTGTTAGAAAAATGATGTCTGTTACTGCATAAACCGATGGTTAAAACAGAAGCACAGACTCTTCTAGGGTTGTCAAAGTTAAGTCAGAATTTAGGACATTTTGACTAGTTAGGATGTTTCTGTAACACTGTTTTCTCATCTGGAGTTAGGATAAGATTTTGAACTTAAGAACCGTTGTTCTGTAACAGCTTCTGTCCTGAATTCAGTCCTAACTGAAGTTGTCATGGTAACTAAACAGATAAGATTTCAGACTTGAGAAGTTTCTGTAAGACGGCCCTTGGTGTCGTGCCAAATTCTAACCTTACTTTGCATACATGCATGTCATGCAGGTATATGATTGCTACAGATTACATTACAGGCTTCTGTTGTTTCTGTTTATAAATAACTATACATCTTAAAATTACGAAGTTAAGATTAAAGTAACAGAAATCCTCTGTATTCCTGAATAAGGGTCAGAAATCGATACCATACGTGAAGACTGCCTCAAGTACCACAGCAAGTTTTGTTGTTTTTCATAACTCAGCCATACTGTGTCCTAAACTACATTGACAAGTCTGCTCAACCTTGCAGCACTGAAATAAAGTATCAAAATGTGAACATTTAGCATGTCTTGGCTGATTGACTACATCTGGGGTAGTGGAAAAGTGTGTATGTTTGATATTTTGCTGAACTGCTCTTTTAATTTCAGCTAAACTCATGTGTACACCGACTTTTCCTGTGCCTTAAAAGAAGTATTATTTGGTATTCCTAAGTTGTGACAGGCGTGGTGTCAACAAATGGTTTTAAGTTCATACTAAGTTTTTTTTTTTTTTTACTTAACAGATTTTATATCCATATAATGTAGGTCTACGAAAGTTTAGAAAATTAATGCTCCTTTTCCCTGTGTTTGAAAATAAAATCAGACAATATTTAGATACTGTTAAGCCTTCTAATGTCATTTTTATTCAGTGTATTTGTTCCGTTTTAAACCTTCCTTTTAAGCACAAGTCTGAAGGACGATTAGGTTGCTGTGACATTTTGCGAGGGGGCGTGTCATACAGTGGGCGTGTCTCGGAGTGGGCGTGTCGTTGAGGCTTTCGGGACGCAGACTACACAGTAGTCTGTTCTATACAGTATGAGTTGTTCTTTACCGTATGAATGGATTTAAAAACACGTTTGTTGTCCTTTTAAAGCCACAGTTTCATAACGAAAAAGGATTTAAAGATAGAGGCTTTCTGACGTGGGCGTGTCCTGTAGGATTTTCGGTCCCCAAGCTCCGCCCTCTCCGGGGTCACCTGACCGCTCATCGCGAGAGTGTTTCAGGTTCTCGGAGCTGAATGGAGAGGTGAAGCGGTCCGTGTGTGTGTGATACAGAGTGTGTGTGTGTGTGTGTTTATGTGTTCTTTGTCCGCTTTCGTTTTCCCTTCCTCCGTCGCTCTGTGATTCCGGCTCACCGGCGCGCTGGGGGGAAACTCTGGCAAAGGAAGCCGCGCAGTTCACCGCTCGGACCCGCGGCGCGGCGCCAGCAGCAGCATGCTCACCCGGGTCAAAACGGCCGTGGCCAGCTTCGTGGGCGGCATCATGGCCGGCGCTCCGGACGGAGAGCAGCTGAGCGGCGCGGAGCTGCCGCCCAAATTCCCCTACATGAGGCCGGCGTTCCTCGGACTGTCGCCGGACGAGATCGAGTGCTCGGCGGATCACATCGCCCGGCCCATCCTCATCCTCAAAGAGACGAAGAGATTACCATGGGCTACGGGCTACGCAGAGTAAGTCCACGTCCATCTTTAATCTACAGCATGTCAACATAACCAGAGACTTGTTGACAGAGTGCATATAAGCCAGCATGTCATTTACAGATACATATTTCAGATGTATTATCCTTTTATTCCCACCACATCTCAGTTAAAGAGAAAAACTTGTATGTTATCACTGAAGACCAGCAGATACACTCCCCGAGCACTTCATTATGCACGTCTACGCTTATTATCAGGTTATCAGGTCCACCTACCATATAGGTGCACTGTGTAGTCCCACAGTTACAGACTGTAGTGCATCTGTTTCTTTGCATAATTTATCATCCCCTCTTTACTCCATTTATCAATGATCAGGACCCCCACAGGACCACCAGAGAGCAGGTGTTATTTGGGTGGTGGATCATTCTCAGTACTGCAGTGATACTGACATGTTAGTGTGTGTTGTGCTGGTACGAGTGGATCAGACACGGCAGTGCTGCTGGAGCGGACTCACTGTCCACTCTATTAAACACATATTGTTGGTCCACCTCATAGACATAAAGTCAGAGACAGTCCCAGATGGCAAGAGGATAGTGGGTCAATGTTAGCCTGCTGACGGCAAAGCTGAAAGTTCACTGGCGTTTTGCTCAGCATCTCCAGACAGCCCGACTCATGGTAGCAGAGTATTAGACAAAATGCCACTTTTCATCGCTTATTTCTGCTCACAGTCCAGCTTACTTTTTTGCTTTCATTTCTTTCTTTTATTATCTTAGTAAATAATTATAATTTAGCACAACATTCAAAAAAAACTTTGTATATTAGGCCTAGTCATCATTTTTCTCTCAGTTGTTGGTAATATTTTTCTTGGTTTATTTTCAAAAATAAAAGGCTATGTGCCTTTTGAAGAGGTTAAAAACTAGTTAGACCTTGTATGCAGGACAGTTATCTGGGTGATCAGCACTGGCATGCAGTAAGCAGATGAATATATGCTTGCTATCTGGGATAGCTCATCTGTTACTGCACAGTTTGTGTTAGTCATCCTCTAGCACTTCAGCAGTGGTCAGGTTGTGACCATAGCACACTGTTGGCTGGATATTTTTGGTTGGTGGACTATTCTCAGTCCAGCAGTGACATTGAAGTGTTTAAAAACTCCAGCAGCACTGCTGTGTCTGATCCACTCATACCAGCACAACACACGTTAACACACCACCACCACATAAGTGTTGCTGGAGTGCTGAGAATGATCCACCACCCACATAATACCTGCTCTGTGGTGGACCTGTAGAGCTCTTGATCATTGAAGAATGGAGTAAAGGTGGGATAACAAATTATGCAAAGAAGCAGACAGATTTCAGTCTGTAATTGTGGGATTACAGAGTGTACCTATATGGTAAGTGGAGCTGATAAAATGGGATAATGAGTGTAGACACAAGGTACCTAATAAAGTGACCATTGAGTGTAGTTACTGAAAGATATCAGGATCATTCACAAATAAGATTAGAAAATGTAAGAAAACCAGTATCTACTTTTTAAAATTTCTGCTGTGCACTATAAATGCTGTAAATGCCTCAAATGTCATATTTTCCAGCATTACAAAGCTCTCAGAATCCATGAGAGACAATAGCCCCATGTGTCCCTGTGCACTGGCAGATAATTACCTCAAGTTCAGATATAAGCGTGGTTAACTAATATGTAATGCAAAATATAAAGACATTAAAAGATTACAACAAAACAACAAAAATAGCACTAAGGATAACATTAGCTATAGCAAAATTAACATTGAAAATATGGGGTAATGTAAGCTACAGCAAAATTAACATTGAAATTGTAGGATAATATTAGCTACCTAGTCTTCAACTAATTTTGAAGAATGTTTCATCAACACAGTCATATTTTTCAGGGAATGTTGTGTCCTCAGGGATTTTTGGGTTCCTCTTGAGTCAAATCTGGGGCTTTTTCTTTATATAAGCAGTTGCTTAGAGCCACGAGCCATTGTTTTTAACTTTTTTCTTGATCAAAATGTGTAAGGAATTCAGTTATTTTCTGTCCTTGCAGAATAATATGATTTGGATGGGTGGGGTTGTCACTTAGGGCTTCCCAAATTTTCAGAAACTGGTCTGGCCTGGTCAAATCTGTCCCTTCTCTTTTAATACAGCACAATATTCAAATTGGATCCACCTGTTTAATACTGTGTGAGTCACAAGGATCCACCTGGTTTTGTTTAGGAATTTCCTTTCCTACTTACATTTTAATTTCACTCTAAAAACATCAGAGTTATTTGAATTATTTCTACCATTGTGAGAAAAGTGTATGTGAAAGAAAAAATAGGTATCAGTTTTGTGTTCAGTAGGACCAATTAGCTAACAGCTGTTGTTGAGGCCAGAAATCATATAAACTAGGAATGGCAACCTGTAGATCCACACAGTCTCTGGGGTCTACAAGGGTTCAGCTGGTATTTGACAATAAAAATTGCTTCATGTTTTTTCTGTTATAAACTTTCAGTACACATTCTGTTCTGCTTTGTTGTGTAAACTGCGGATGCTGAGGACACAAAAGCTTAGTTATGGTGACAGATTGTGTTTCATATGTGCGGTGGGATCTCATGGCTGGAGAATTCAGAGATTTGTGCATGCCAGCTGTATGTCACGTTTTCTGTTTTTCTACAGCATGCAAGTCCAAGCCCTCCATTCTCTCTGACCTGTGTGCCCATATAGCTTATACTGAGCGCGTGTAATCTGTGTTAGACAAAGTCCTTCTACAGTGTCATTGCTCTTTTCTATTGTTCTAATTTACGTTTCCAAAGAATTACTGGGACATTGGGGGAATGTTTATGTTTCATGTTTGTTTGTTTATTACTTTTAACTACCTGCTCTGGTATCAGCATCAACATGCAAAACCAGCTGTGCTCTCTCTTTACATCATTCAGCATGCATCAGTGGACAGTTCTCAAATGGGGCTAAACAGGGGTCTATTTTTGGAACAAACATTGACTGACCAAGTAAAACAGGTTGTTTCCTGTTTACAGAATGCTTGATGTGTTCACTGGGCATTAATTAAAGATAAGGCTTATTTTAAGTGTTACAATACAGCAGATGATTTTTGCAGCATCCAAAGATGGATTTTTTTATGTTGATTTAAGTGAGAGCCTTTTCATTCCTAACATTCAGAGAGCTTAATAAGTGCATGTTAACCTGTCTGCTTTTGAATTCTGGCTAATATGTATAAAGGAATATGTGACATAAAACTATTCTTCCATGATGTACTTAAGCAGTAGAACATGAGCGAGAATGTAAAATCATGGCTGTGATTTGGTCATAGATCTTAATAGCTGCAGTGTTATTTGTGGAAACACAATTATGTGTCTCTTATTGCTTTAATGTTTTTAATATTGGCAATTGTCTCCAAAAACAAGTAGTTCCAGCAGCTTAGAGCAAGGCAACTGTTGTTGTTGCAGCCAGTGATTGACTGAATGATGCAAGTATGGTGGGAGAAAAATCAATATGCTGTTATCAGATTCAGATGATCAGATAATACAGAGTGAATACATTTCAACCAATCAGATTGTGTTGTATAAAATGCCCACGGTTGTCAATTAGAGTTACTTTCCCCCTTACTGCAGTAACAGCCTCTACTTTTCTGAAAAGGCCATACACTAGATGTTGGAACATTGCTGTAAGGATTTGATTGCATTCAGCCACAAAAGCATTAGTGAGGTCAGGTACCGATGTTGGATGATCTAGTTCTGGATCACAAACACCACTCCAACTCATCAGTGAGGTATTGGATGGAGCTCCATCACTCCAGAGAATCCAGTTCCACTGCTCCACAGCCCAGTGCTTGGGGGTTTATACGCTTGGCATTGGGTATGGTAAACTTAGGCTCATGTGTAGCTGCTCCAGAGCGTCCCATTCTGTGGAGATTATACAACCTGTGTGCAGTTGAATGGAGTCCACTAATTATAAGGGCAGAAAATATAGTGTAGCTGTGTTTAGAAATTGATTTCAGATCTTTTGTGGTGACGTCTGTCTTTTCCAGTGAGGGTAGAAAATAAAGTCTGAGCTCTGTAAAGGTTGAAGCTTGTGTAAATGGATGGATTTTGCATGTTCATGAGCCTTTAGAGGACTACACTCACAGAAAGTGGTGGCTCTTATATCTTTTGCATATCTCCTTTAGACTCTGTGTTTGTACAGTGTGAGAGAAAACCAGTTCCGGAAGAAAGGTTTTATATAAAGAACACTATTGAATCTGCAAGGCAGGCCAGAAGTCAAAAGTTAGCTGGCAACAAAATAAACTTCATCTGACAGTCCAGTTAGCATTTGCTAAAGTTATTTAAGGGTTGTATGCTGTGTCATGGCACTAGAATATCTTGAACTACATTTCACACCAAGCTTTTGGTTTGGCCTTTTTTTTTTAGCACTTCTCTTGATGTGTTCTGTGTAAGAGGTATACTTCAGTTCACTGTTTATGGAAGTGATCAGTAGGAAGCTTTGGGTGACTCATGCATGATGGTCACATGTGTACGTGACCTATAAGAAGCACGTTCTTTATTGTACTGAAGAACTGAGCAGTGCTTTCAGCCGATTGTAGCCCAGAGCCAAAAGCAACCTACAAATGTATTCAGTTAGGTTAAAATAGATGGAATGTGTTAAGCTGACTTGCATATTGTTGCCATTATGTCAAAAGTTCATATTTTTTTGTTATTTACACAAATTGAAAATGCCAGCTTTTTCTCTTTTACATTTCGTAAATGTTTCATGACGATTGCACCAATATAAATGGTACAAGTAATTTTATTGGTCCTGGAATAAAATCTCATTATATTACCATACACCGAAGTTAAGGTTTTTCCCTTCTCCTATAATGTGTAATAAGGAAGAGTTTGTGTTTTTTTACGACAGCAGCTATGTGTTTTACATAGATTTGGCTATGTAAAACATGTTAAAGGTAGTTGACATGAAAGACAATACGCTTATATACATCTCAAATTTTCTGGGCTGCTTTTCGGAGTAAGAACGCTGATCTGGGATCTGTTT